TAGTTTTGTCTCTTTTTTTTCATATAGAGCCGTGAGAAATATGTTTCCTGCTGTGGCAATCTCATCTTGACTTGAATTAGGGTATTTGAAAGATTCACTTAGCTATTGCAAATCTTTGTTCTTCTGCAAGACTTTAAGAAATTTCAGTTTCCCTTGATTAAACAATGCAGAAGTAGTATTAGAACCACTCATCGCATGCAGGAATAAAAAATGATCCAATAGGATTTTCTCAGCAGCCAGATGAGGGTTGTAGAGGCTTTGCGAAACCTTTCCTTTTCCTGGCTTCAAAAAAAAAATACATTTTTTATCAGGGCTAGAAACTCCAATCAAAATGACCAGTAGGTCGATATCTTCTCCCACCACTGTCACATGTTCATTTGACGGGCCATCTCAAGAGCTGTTGAGATAATTAGGATATCAGCATCTTCCACAGCTTGTTTTGAATGAATTTTTGCATCATGAAGTTTCTCCATTAACATATATATAAACCGGCTCTTGTTTTTTGGGTTTGCAAGAAAACTATCCTGCGACACAGTGGGCACCATCATTTCTGTTAATGATATTGCAGCAGATTGTTTTCTTTGTGCTCTTCTCAATCGTTCTAAACGCTTGGTGCTACCACAAGCCCCGTCAGGGTAGCCATTAAAAACGACAATAGCACTTGATTTGTAGTTTGATTTGTCATATGATACATAACTGCTGCATATGTCTGACCTTGGCGCCATTTTACCCGGTGTAACAAAAAACCCCCGTCGATGACATATTTTGTATCGTTAAACTCAGTCTGTTCAGTAGGTGTACAGAACTTAAAGCACTTTTATTTCTGTAAACAGACCATTTACTAAAAGTTAACAGTTTTCGAGTTTTAAGCAAAAAACCGGAAAAAAGCAAAAAAAAACGATTTCTTCTGGTTTTTTAAATGTTGCGTCACGAAATTTTGTCCGCAAACCTCAGATTCAGATTTAGCACCCCAAAACACATATGGAATGAAAAAATCAGAATTTCCCCAAAACTTTCCTACTAGTATCACTTTACAGTACAAATTTACTGAATTATATTGTAAGTTTACAGCTATTAGGATTATCCTATAAATAAATAAATTTCTGTTTACAAAAATATAGTCAATAATACTGATTTAAAAATAAAGTCTTGACGCATATCTTTATTTCAACATATTTTTTTATTGCAGAAATTATCAAGGTATAGTGCTCGGACCACTGGCCTTTACGAGTATAAATATTGTATTTATACGGAAGTCACAATTGATTGCAACAAAAAATAAATTTTGCTTTGTTTTTGGCGTTTAAAATTCAAATTTGGAAATCTTTTTCAAACAATATAAGTAAAAATTATTTTAACCTATAGATAGATGTTTATTAATTGGCACTTGTAACATCTAATTGGACAGTTGACTAACTTGGATTGAATCTTGTAGACAAAATAGCCATGGTTTTGAGTTGAGGGTGATGTTTTACCTTCGGATAGTTCCTTTGCACTATTTTGGTTTTATGTAGCGCTTTTCTCAATTATTGGTATAGTAATTTATTTTTCGAAATGGCAATTAGTGTCTGATGTATGTATTTTATACTTGATTTCTACAAAAAAAGTAGTCAACTGGTTTATTTTTGTATATTTGTGTAATGCGAAACTCAAGCCGATATTCTAATATGTATTTAGGCATTTGATCATCTTCCCATACTTTTGATATAATTGTATGGATTTTATTTATTAAATGTGCTTCATATTTGTAAAGTTGTGCGGGGAGTTCATCATTTTCTGTGATTTTGTTGATATTTAGTTATGGATTAGACTGGATAGTCTGGATTGTCTCGCTAGTTTCCTGTAAGGTCGGTGGACGGACTTGATCCTCATTTAGGTCAATATTATATGGAATATCTAGAGCATTATCATCATCTATGCACAGCAAACTTAAAGATTTTCTCATTATTAGCCAATATCTTTCCTTCCTTGCCCCGGAACAGAATTAATCTCGGTTTTAATTCTTTTCGTGTACTATTAACATTTCTATAAATAAAGGTGTCTTGTCTAAAGACTATTATTAAAGCTTTATTCTCCGGAGAAAGAACAATCTTCAAAATAATATATCCGATCTATGCTGAATGGTACTGGGGGACAACTACGCACTAAAAAAGTTCATCCATGCAGGAGAGACTGGTGAAAGGTCAGTACATCAACGTCCTCCGAGCGATTAAGACATAATGTCACTATACTTTTCCGAGAGTCAATATGCAAAGGAAGTCGCTCTCGTTAGAGAGCATTAATTCCTCCACGACATGTCTGGTATTATGCCAAGGCCCACCTCGCACTTTCGTGTTTCTCTCTCTTACATAAAAACAGAGTATGTAGTGCAGTCTCTACCTACTCTCCTTCGTATTTTATATAATGTAAGATCATATGGGGTATTTAGCCTATCTGTACATCGGACAGTTTTGATTTGCAGATCGTATGAACGTGATACATAAGAGGGAAGCATCCAATGAGATAATCCTGTTGTTGATTTAATATATGTTTGCTTTCTTGATGCGAACAATTTTTACGTGGCTTTTAGCTCAATAATAATCCCGGACTAGGGGAATTTGCTCTTTGTATTAAATATTAGCAGCTTAGTCACCTCAGGTTCGCGGACGATATAGTCCTGATAAGAGACCGCATAGATCATGCCATCGAAATATGCGAAAGACTCTACCATGCCTCTACACAAGTGGGTTTAAAGATCAATAACTCAAAAACACAAGTGATGACAAACCTTGTTCTGAGTGAGAACATCAACATAGCTGGAACAAGTATAGAACAAACATCAGCATACAAATATCTGGGACACGAAATTCGCTTAAGTAGAGATAACCAGACCAATGAACTAATACGTAGAATAGGGTTGACATGGGCAGCTTATGGAAAGCTAAGAGATGTTTTCCAATCAGCTCTTCCCATCTGCTTGAAGAGAAAAGTCTTCGATCAATGTGTGCTGCCGGTTCTAACCTATGGTGCGGAGACGCTAACACTTACTAAGACGTCCGCAAACAAAATTCGAACAACACAGAGGGCAATGGAACGGTCCATGTTGGGATTAACCCTGAGAGACCGAATACCCAACACAGAATTGCGCTGTAGATCGGGAGTAACCGACGCAATCAAAAGAATATCAACCTTAAAATGGAACTGGGCAGGGCACGTCGCGAGAACGAAGGACGGCAGATGGACAAAACGCATTCTTGAGTGGAGACCCAGACAAGATGCCTTTTGGAATAGAGGACGACCACCAACAAGATGGACGGATGACCGGAAACGGACACATCAAAATTGGATGCAGGCGGCTCAGGACAGAAATTTGTGGGGTGAACTACGGGAGGCCTATGTTCAGCAGTGGACGAGTATGAGCTGAATGATGATGATGATTAAATATTAACTGGCCTGTCAAAGTCGAACTTACTGTCATATTGTTTATTGGGCAAAGGTTTCATTGTGACTTCAGCATCCTTATTTGGCCAACCAAGACATGCTATTTCAACTATCAAGCAAACACTAGTACCTCTCACTCACTCCACCCCGCTGAAATGCTCCAGACCATCCTGAAGCTCCCGACAGCACGCTGATGTGCTATACAAGCTTTAAATCAGCAGAATTCTTGTCATGTGGAAGTCCTGGGTACAGACTCCCGCATGATAACCTACCCCGAACTATGCAGGACAGCTTTAGGCTGCTAGTCCTGCTATTTCTAGTGATTTATTATCGTTATTATCAAACTGTATTGCTTACTAAGGCACCGAGTTCCCGCTTCGAGCTACGATCAATTCGGCTATACAGCGCTTGAGAGTGTGGTCTCCTTTTGCCAGTTTTTTGGGCTTTGTTGGTATTTTTGTGACTTGCGCCTTTTGTTAGTGTTTTATTATTATTATTATTATTATTTTTTTTTTGGTGACCAAAACCGTTTTTTGTGTTTTTTATGGATTTTTGTTAGGGCTGTCTGAAACATATAAAAGCAACATAAGTAAATACGCCTCTTATAATGACGACCGTTTTGTCTAATTTTGATATATTATTGATACTATTATCTAGACTTTATGGTATTGATAATAGTTGAGTGAGTAGGACTCCTATCTCTTCTTTTTTTGAAGATAACCGCTTGGGTCTTCTTTGGGTTTATTGATATTTTCCATTGGATGCTCCATTCTTCTATTGTATACAGTATTGTATACAGCGCCGTCTGTAGATTTCTTACAGCTATATGCAGGTCCCGGTATTCTTGGAATGCCTGCTGTACATATATGCTATACAGAAGGGGTGATAAGACAGCCCTTCCGTGTTCAGATAGAACTGATCTTTTCTGGACCCTGAACCTCCGGTTGGTTATGTACGAGATGAATTTCGTCATGGCCCCTCTGTATGTATAATCGCTCATTTTGTATCTCAATCCTTCGTGTCAAATTATATCGATTTCATTGTCTCTAGACCTGTTGTATTAACTTGCATTACGTTGGAAATAGCCTTATCATGCATTACGATAATAGTACTTACCAAGTCATCTGTATAATGTTAAGACGTGAAGCCAAAGCCATGTAGCATAGACCTAATTAGCCCAAGCAGTCACTAAAGACCACACCAGGAATGATAACACACCACACCTTTATTCAGTTACACGCACTGATTCATGTCCTGCGTAAGTCGGAGGCTTCTACATTCCTCTCATCTAACTTTTTTTGCACGCACAAATCAGTCTGCGCTTTATTCATCCGTTTTCGCCGAAAATTTGTATCTATGTACCTAATCCTCGTAGGAAAAACTACACTCATGGAGGCTTATATTGCAGGTGTCGGCTAACCTGACAAATTGTTCGTACAAAATCAAAAATATTCGAAGAATAAAGCGTACACGCTAGTCAATCAGCTAGTAACAACACTCAATTTTGATTAAACTGAATTAGCAATAAGTAGTACAATTCCTGTTGTATAGTATTAATTATTATTGTATTTTGTTGTTAGGTTTCTGTGAGATGATGGCTGCCTATTTTCCTGAGTTCGAAACTATAAATCACGCTTTTGTTTGCCAATGGATGTTTACTTTGGAATCCAAATTACAAGAAAATGACGAACCCGAAGGAAAGAAAGAAATGGAAATAGATCTGTCGCTTCCAGAAATTGTTCCAAAGACGAAACCCAGGTAAGAAATCAGTGGAAATTAAAAAATGACATTTTTGGTTAAATAATCTGACACTCCGTTGTTCAAAAGCGATTTTATTTCTTTGTGATAAGTTTTATCAATTGATCGAATACAGGAAAATAAAATACTTTGTTTCCTGGCCTGAAAAATTAAAGACCTGGAATTAGTTTGACTACTATATTTTTCGACTTATAATCCGAAAACCTGTATTACTCAGTTTATTGCCTGAAAAATATGGTAATCAATGTTAATATAAGCTTTAAAATTTAAAATCGTGATGCTTTTTTTTTGTTATTTTCGGTTAAAATTTTTACTTGATAATTGTAATTGATTTTCTCCCCTCCTGTGACAGATCCTCCTCTGTCATCCAGCGATCTGGAAGCAGAATGGCCGCTGTAAGGCCGGCATCACTTCCCAAGCATTACCTTCATTCAGTCATTCTCCATTCATCCACATTCACACTCCATTAATCAGCAAGGAGGCTCCATGTCTCGTTCCAGGTAACACGTAGAATGCCCTCATCGCTCCTAGTACGGCATCACTCCCAGACGGGCATTTCCTCCTTCCCCACAGTTTGACTTACGCATTCTAAGTCATACAGTCTGACCCACTTTTCTAGTTTCAACTTCCAGCATCTTTCTCTCTTATCTTTGCCGTTGGTCCAGCTGACTTTCTTACAATGGATATAGTTGTGTACGGTAGTCCAACCTGCTTTATTTTCAATCATTCTTTCAATCATTTCTCTCACTGTAACAAAATTCACACCTGTTTCTCTCTCCATTATGTTCCTTTCTACTATCCATATGTTGCAATCTAACATCGCGTGTGTCACAGTGTCCGAGGGTCCATAATACAGGCATTCAGCTGTGTCCCTCTCCGTATTCACAGTTCATAACCCCGTCATATGCCAGATTTCATAGCGTCGGGCCCAAGACAGATCCCTGGGGGATCCCGGCCGTCACGTCCACGATCGTGCTCTTTTCCATCATGATCCTTCTCTCGGACTGATACTCTGCCACTACATTCATCAGGTAACCAGGACATTCTCTCTCCTCCATTGCCTTTATTACTACTGGCCAGTAGTAAACTTTCTGTTTCAGGGAACATCTTTCCTGATGTCAGCTAATAGTTCGACGCTATATTGTCGACATGGTCTTGATTGACCTCATTGGGATGTTGCCCGTGCAGGGGTTTACCCATCCAGGTGCGCATTTTTTCGTCCTTAGTAAGATGGTTTATGCGCATTTCTGGTTTCCTCAGTTTGATCGGTGTTGCTGCACCTGAACTCAGTTGAGTTCAGTATCGGGGATAGGGTGTTCATCGCTAGACAAAATCACCATGGGCTTAACGAATCTCCTTGAAATAGGCGCCGGTTGATTGCAATCACGTCAATTATTATTTATATTATTATTGTGTAACTAATTAACTACCACCAACCTGTAGGTAAATAAATATTTCTTGTATTTTGTTAAAGATAGATATTTTTTGAATAGTTTAGTTTGTTTCAATTTATTTCTTCATGTTGACGATAGTACATATTTTTGACTGCAAGTAACGGAAATGCTTGTTGTAAGTTAGCCATTGACCCTCAACTTTGATTTAGCTTATAAATTAGTGTTTTGCTTTTCCAATTTATGCAATTACAAATTGAAGGTTACCTACCTTTTTTAATTACGTTTTTTATGGATAGATTTACTACTTGATGTTAACTTTGTTTAAAAATGACTTGGTTAATTAATGATGATCAATACAGTATGAAAAACTACGAGTATATACATTTTTAATTGAGTGAGAAACATAATAAATCCACCCAAATTTGGGGAGCCACCCAAAAGTTTTGATCGAGATTTTATTCTCCCAATTCAACCCTTAAATCTGGGGCGACCGTCATATTTAAAATCATAAATAGAAATGGTTATCGTGAGATGTATCATTTAAAAGATTGTTATTTTAATTTTGGACGACCAGTTTTCGAGAAATTAAGTTAGTGTACACACTTAGATTAAGTTTATTTTATTTATTGTGCTTGTGTGTGTGTGTGTGTGTTTGTATTTTGTTTGTGGCAACCCTATTAGCTATTTATTTTATTAGATATCTAAACTGTTCTCCACCAACCTCCATATAGTAATACAGACATAACTCAAAGTGTTCTCTAATATTACACTCGAATACGATGCTTTGCTGTAGTATTAGCTGTAGTATAATAACATTATATCAAAATTGTATCTAAAGTAGTCACGGAATGAGTATCTAAAGTACTAATTTAATTTTGCCAAGACAATAGAATTTTTACACCCATCACATGTCAATGAAGTGTTGGTTGCTTTCCTCTGTGCTACTTGTTCCTTCCTATTCTACCAATTCTACCTAACACGTTGTACATCGTCTTCTACCTGCTGGACCAACATCGTTGAGTTTGTGGGTATTTTCTATAATGACTGGTGTTACAATAAAATCTCCTAATAGGCCCCGAATTGCCTCTTCCTTGAATTGGGTAATCGTCATGCTTTCATTGGCAATACTTTGATGCGAGACATAAGCATTTATAAGTGCTGTACCAGTTAAGAGCTTCATTGATAATTTTCTGTACCATTTTATAGCTTTTCATTTGATCGGATATATCAATAAAGCTTTTATATTTATTATATTCGATGACATTCTTTGGTTTTACAACATTACCGCGTGCCTTCTGCATTGTCACCATTTCGTCAGCGAATTTGGTACTAATCATCAGCACATATCGCTTGTCTGAACAACGATGTCCGAATTACTTTGTTCAGCTACATATTCGCCTACTTAAATTTTTTTTGAAATTACGGTTTTGGGTATAGGAGTTCATGTGCAAGTATGACATAACTGTAGTAGTTATCAATCGCAAGTGTCCGTCCTTTGTCAAGCAGTCCATCCATAAGTTAAATCACTACATTTGTTGGTACGGTGCTTCCTTCAGCATATTGTTCTTTTCCACAATATACGTTAAAATCCTAGGTATAACCACCTTTCAGACAAAGTTTGAATAATTTTATCCCATATTTGTGCCTCTTGTTGGCAATATACTGAATTTTAGTCGCCCTTGAAAAGGCACTAAAGTTTCGTCAATGCACTCGTTTTCCTTTGGAATTATGACAGTCTTGAATTTATCCTTCAGTCTGCTAACCGATCTTATGCAAACGGTCATCTGCTATAACTGAATTATCGTTGAAATGCAGTATTTTCCACAATAACTGGAAGCGATTTCTTGACATTACTTTTTTGATATTATTTACATAAGGATGACAGATGAAATGATGGAAAATGACATAATTCCATCCATATAACTATATCCGGGAATCGTTTTATTTCGGCAACATCTCTTTTGCCCTTTTTTGCTGATTTCTTTCCTGACACTGCATGCTGATGCTGGTTAGGTATGCATCTCCTACTGCTATTGCCATACCTTCACAGCTGCGTCTTCAAAATGGACGGAAGAATTTTAAATAAACAAGATCCAATTAAATATAAGTTGTAGAAGTAACTATGAAAACAGATTTAGTTCCAGAGGTCTCAAAGCGTTTTACAAATACATAAAATCAAAACTTCTGTATAAAAACTGGTATACCGGTATTAGAAAAATCTAATGGTGAAATATGGTGTAAAACAAGATGTGTTTGAGTTACTAACCGAAACATTTTCCAGTGCATTTACAGTTGACACGGATGCTATTTTTTTTGGATGTGCCTCCTACTGACAGAATATTGTTAAGTTTGTCAACAATTGACATCTCTGCTGAATTGGTTAAAGAGGTATTAAGTTCTTTAAAGACTACTGCCTGGCTACTGACTACTCCTGGATTGGAAAATATTACACCATATTATGTCATAATTGTGCAGATAGTTTAGCGGCTCCAATGGCATCTTTACTGACCAAATCTTTGCAAACAAATTAAATCCCAACTTCAAGGAAATCTGATATAGTAACACCGACTTTAAGGATTTCAAAACACTGGTAATGAGATTAAACATGTAAAACCTATGGATTGAAAATGAATTTTATAAAAACAAAATTTATGGTCATTTCAAGGACAGATAACGTCTCAGGTAATCTTGTTATAAGCAATGAACAGATAGAGAGAAGTGAAAAGGTATAAATATCTTGTTAATTGATTACCCGAAACGCTAGTTCCTTTAATGAAATCAATATCCGAATAGAAATAGCGAGAGAGGCACTTGTAAAGATCAAACAATTTCTTAGTTGTAGCAGTCTCAACCTAAGTCTTCGAATAAGAAGGTTGAGATGCTACGTTTTTTCAACTGTCCTTTATGAATCAAAGGCTTGGACACTTAGAAAAACTGAAATGGATAAGCTTGTCGCGTTTGAAAGCTGGTGTGACCACTGCATATTAAAAATATAGAGTAACAGAGTAACGAATGCAGAATTTGTCTAGTGTGAGAAAAGCGAAGAAAGAAATAATCAGTACCCTGATAACAAGGAAGCTTGAATACTTTGTGCACGTGATTAGAGAACCTATGTACGTAGTCCTGTAAAGCTTAATTCAGGGAAAAATAGAAGGCAAACGGAGCCAAGGCAGGAGAAGAACATCCTGGCTTAAGAACTTGGTTGGGACTTACAAGAATTAAAATGTTTAGAACAGCAGAAAATAAAGTTCGCTATATTGATTTCCAACCTCCGAAGAGGAGGCGGAACCTGTAAAGATAAAGAAGATGAGATAGACTCCATCTTAGCCTTAACACTTTAATTGGAAGTATTACTTTTGATAACATAGTGTCAACACGAATATAGGCTTTGTTATTACTATATTTCTTATTTAGTATGTACAATGTTTTAAAGATTTAATGAGTCTTCATTTTTAAAACTTATTTATATTAAACAATTGATGCATTACTTTAAATTCTAATCTTTTATTTTTATTTTTCAGAACTGTTAGTGTCAATTCTGAAACTGATGTGCCGAAACGAATGCACAAACTATCCGAAACGAGTGATGGTGGATCCACTAGTGATAGTTCTACTTCTTCCGGTAACGATGAACTGGATATATTACAAGAAATGTTTCCTGGAACGTGCCATATCGAGGTAAGATGTGTGATCGATTGTTGTTCTCATCCTTTGTAGTTACTTTTGATTTATTTTTAAAATATCTGCAAACTCTATTAGTTGAGTTAACGAGATTTTTAACCATATTTCTTGGAATTGCGCGAACTTTAATAAATGTATGTAAATACTGTAGTAATGTCAAACAGCAATGTAGGGCATGTTATTTTCATCTTACGATAGTTGACATTCTTCAACATAACAGTAAAATATATGTGCGTGCCTTTCCATCACTTAAAGTATGTGTCTCATAAAGTATGCGTGAAATATCATATTTTTTATAAATTTTCGATTAGTTTTTAATTGTAGTAGTTAAATTTGATAAAGTATATCTCCTCTTATTTCAAGTATCCTTTTTAGTGTACTTTTATCTTAAGTAGGATCGTTATTAATATACAAGAAATAGGTTAGGTTGTCGAATCCTTTTATCGCGAAATGTATGATAGCACCAACGAAAGCAAGATCAGCCCCTGCCCAAAAACACAAACCATTAGAATTATTGCCAGATAACTCCATACAAAATCAAAACGGTACTTTTAGAAATGAAAAGTAACAAATCCTCGGCGATGACGGAGTAGTGATCGAATCGAACAAACTAGGTGAAAATAAAATTATCTAAACTTTGGGCAAACTTTTCCCCGAATGCATGTATCAAGGAAAAACTCCTTCTCAATGGAACAATGCAGTCAATATTTTATTTCACAAGCAAGGAGACATAACAAATCTAAAAACTGCAGTTCTGCCAGTTTGCTTTCACACATATATAAACTTTTCACAAAAATTATCAAAAAAAGACTGGATACTAAATTATAATTCTATCAGCCTAGAGAATAAGCTGGATTTAGATCGGGATACAGCATTAACAAGGATTTACCTGGGCAGCGTTTGATAAATTAAACTACGTATTTAAACCGGATCTACCCATATGCCTCAAAAGGAAAATCTTTGACCAATGAGTGTTATCTGTACTCATTTATGGAACAGAATCATTAAGCCACAATTAAAGATAAAAATGCGTTTGTTGACGTTTCAATTTCCATACATACCGTACATAAATGGATTATCAGAAAAACTTAAAAGGATAGGAAATAAATTCAACATTTCAACAACATTCAAAACAACAAACACGTTGAGATCTATTTTGTCCAAAAACAAACCTAACAATGAACAAGAAAGGACAAAGAATTGTATTTATAAAATACCTTGTGAATGCGATCAGTTTTATTTACGTGAAACATCAAGGCCATTAAATATTAGAATAAGTGAACATCAATCTTATATTAAAAATAGAGAATTTGATAGATCTCAAATATGTAAACACGCATGGGATAATGAACATAGGGTTCAATGGAATAATTCAAATGTAGTCGTAAAAGAAACGGATGGTAAAAAAAGAAAAATCAAAGAAGCGGCTCTAATTATACTAAATGAAATTAGTATAATTAGAGCCAATACATGCCAATTGTGTCGCAAATTCCTCGGCAGAATGTAGTAGGATCTGGTTACCAATATTGAAAGAGGAAGTTATTAATAAGAAAATACCAGTATTAGTAAGTCAGTAACATATAGAGGATACATCATTTATGTTTTTAAATAACGAACCATATAAAATCAGAATTTTGGTGTTTATTGAAGGTAAACTAAATGCACGAACAAATACTTACCATGTCGGGATAGTACTATGAGGTTTTTTTCCTGGTTTTTCCCTCATAATTTACTATGGAATTACTAACAGGAGAATTTTACTGTCATCATGTCATGTGTTTGTCTTTTTAAAGACGAATTACATGCTATGATTTTTTTCTGACGGATATTCTCAAGTTAAAGTTGATTTCATGTAATCGAATGAACTATCTTATAAGTAAAGTCGTCCCAGGAGCGCAACTCAACAATATTGGCAATATTGTTGAGTAAATAAAGAAAAAAGAATAAAGTCTACTTTAAAATGCATAATGTATGTCTGAATTGTCAATATAAATGAATCAGATAAAATTAAATTATTAGAAGAATTTTTCACTATGTAACAAAAAACAAAATTTGTTTAATTTACTGTTTGTATTTTGAGAACGATTTTCGAAGTGGAAATTGAAACGTCAATAAACGTATTTTTATCTTTAATTGGCATTGTAAAATGCCACAAGAAAATAGCTTCAGAACAATATTAACACTCGCAAAAAAGGTAGTGAATAAAGTTCGCCTGACTAAGAGAGCTATGGAGCGTCAGATCTTGGGTATCTCTCTGAGAGACCGAATACCAAATAAAGAAATAAGTTGTAGAACAAAAACAACAGACGTCATCGAAAAAATCGCGTCGCTTAAATTGAATTGGGCAGGATACGTCGCCAGATTATCAGACAACCGATGGACAAAACGTATTTTTGAGTGGAGACCAAAATCTATGGACAGTAGACACATATGTACATATTGATAATGATGATGATACAAGAAATGTACTTTTCGTCTAATGTTTTATTTTTCATTTTTATTGATACGTTTTCTAAGCCTTCCTGGGTAGGTATTTGGTTGGGCCAAGTTTCCACCAATTTCTTATCGTCTAAGCTGGTGAATTTTACACTTCCAATAACTTTTGAACACATTCACACTATACAATAAACATTTCTTGCAATATTTGAGTATTAAACAGCTTTAAATGAGTTAAGGGGTTACATAGGTCTTGTATTTTCAAAAAGTCTCTGAAGTTTATTGTCTATTTCTATGTATTAGCTATAGTACTTCAAGTATATTATTCAAGATAAATAGATCGATTTTGCTGAAAATTTGCAAAGTTCATCTTTATAGTATTGTTTCGTGATTGAACGAAGTTTTGAATGAATTTTCATCCCAAATTTTTTAGCGCTTTCCGATTGTCATCGTTTTTAACACATTTTTTTTTGTATAAATCAAGAAGTAGTTGACCGAAATCACCAAGTCGTTCAATAACTAAACAATACCACAGAATAAATAACAATCAGAATGCCCACTCTCAGATGCCGCCTTTGAAGTTTGTCAGCACGTGATCGCCATATTTTAGACGGAAACATAGACTCGAATTGAGAAATTTGTGACAAGCTACGACAGAACTGTAATTTAAATTTTTAGAGAATAATAATTTAGTACCTTTGAAATAGTTTAATCTATTCTTCAACTAAAAGTACGAATAAAATAGTGCATATTATATCTATGGTTGCCGTAAATAAATTAAACAGGGTTAATTCTTCTATGCACATCAGATAAAATGCCACTGAACAGCACTGGTTTCGACTAAAACATGGCTGATTCCGTCTGCGCGAACGAGATGCGTGTTTATTCTTATGTGACAATACTACGAAGATGACATGTGCAAAGTTTCAGCAAAATCGGACGATTCGCTCTCGAGAAATTGTGACTAACGCACGGAAAAATAAAGTTTCGAGAAAAATGCGTTCGGAGTTACTAAACTGGGAGCGCATTTACCGACCGCGCGGTAGTCAAATTTCTGTAACTCTGGTAATAAGGCTCGAATTTACTTCAAGTTTGGTGTGAATGCTCTTGAAGTACCATACTTTCATATGGAATAAAAAATAAATCGATTTTTTGAAAGTAAAAGACATATGTAACCCTTTAACACAATTACTTTTTCATTTATAGATAAGGCACATTTAATTGCCTGTTTCACTGGAATGAATTCCGAATTACTTTCTATTTTTAATACTACAATCACTATACTACATCACGAGCCGAGAACATAACGACTTTTGAAATGGTGCCCACTAACGTATCCCAGATTTTAAATAACCATCTATAATAGAAGCAATTTTTATTCTAAAAAAAAAGAGAAAAGGAATTTTGACATCTAGTCTTCTAATCTATATTAAACGTAAACAAATAGTTATAGTATCGAAGACTTCTATTATTTACCACATGAGCTGGCAATTTACCAATGAACTGGGCGGACCATGAATGACGGTCGGTGGGCCCAATACAATTACAGTGTGGAGAACACGAGAAGACAAAAGAAGCAGAGGTAGACCATCTACACGATGTATAGACGACGCGACGTCAAAAGAATTTCTGGGAATTGGCTGCAGGAAGCTCAAGACCGACAGAACTGGAAGAAATTAAAAAAGACCTATGTTTAACTTTGGACGCAGAAGACTGGATGATGATGAATACAAAGAGAATTTTTTACTGTAAATTTGAAATACCGAAAGCCAACAAAATAAGATTACTAACATTTAGTACCGTTAAAATAAATCACATTTTATGTGATTTAATAATAATGACATTCTCGACCATTATCTTCAAACACTCCACATAAGTCATCTGGGCTCATCGCCTTACTCTCCTTGAAATTTTTTATTGCGGCTTCTACTTTCATTTCGATTATTAGTGATCAAGTATGGCGTTGTTTTTTGCACGGTGGTGTTATTTCTGGTATCTTCAAATGTTTTTGTTACATAATTGTTCCAAATTATTTTTTTCTTCTATGTTAGTTACTAGATACCTTTGAGCATCGGTTAAATTTTCCAATATTTTTGGTTTGTATAGACCTGTTCTCTCCTTGACCTTCTTGTGGAGGTTGAACATATTGTGTTTGCTGTGTAGTGTCTCGATTTATGTACATTGTTCTTCCATTAACATATTTTTAGCTTCTCTAATTGCCTCTTTTTTTCTTTGCCAATTTGCCGATATCTTACACTGTTTTTTCCCTTCTCCTAACCATTATCGTTGGTATGTTAATATTCATCCAACCTTTTTTCTTTTCTGTTCCTCGCTAAAGGTGCTGCTGTAGTCTTTACTAATATCTGTTAGTTTATTTAACTTTTCTTTTGCGTCGCTTATTGTTTCCAGTGCAGATATATTGTTTTTCAGTATTATTCTAGTACCTTTCGTTTTTTTGTCGATATCTTTTAGTTGTTTCCAGTCGTGTTTTATGGGTTTCGGTTTTTGCACTTTTTTTAAGACCAAGAGCAATGTTGGCGACACGTGTGTTGTGATCCGACCTAATGTTCGCGCTAGAATATGTTTTTACCAATGTTACTGAATTTCTGAATCTTTTGTTAATTAAGATGCAATCGATTTGATTTCGAACGACATGTTTTGATGTGTCTTGAGAGGATTGCCATGTATAATTTCTGAATATTTTGTTAATTAAGATGCAATCGATTTGATTTCAAACGACATGTTGTGATGTGTCTTGAGGTGATCGCCATGTATAAAGTCTTCTCTGTGGTAATTTGAAGTAAGTGTTGGTAATTACTACTTCTTCTTCCGCCGCAAAGATGTTCAACCTGTCTCCGTGTTCAGTTCAGTCTCCTAGACTCCACGGTCCTATTAAGTCTCCATCGCGTCATTTTCCAACTTTGGGATTAAAATCACCAATGACCAATAATATTGCCATTCTTTTTATTAATCGCGCAATGTTAGTTAAGTCATAATGGAATGCTTCTATTTCTTCGTCTGTTTTATCAGCCGTGGGTGCGTATACCTGAATGTTGTTTTTTTGTCAGTAAATCGATTTGGAATAGCAGTATTCTGTCGGATATTGGGACGAGATTAGTGACATGCTTGTTTATGTGTTTACTCATAATGATTCCTACGCCGTGTATGTGTATTTTTGTGTGTTGCCGGATTAGCATAATTGTTGTTCGTTAATCATACATTTACCGGCGTCATTCTAGCGCATTTCACTAATGCCTATGATGTTTATGCAGACCCTGAACATTTCTTTAATGACGTAGATTTTGCCTGCCTCATACATGGTATTTACGTTCTAGGGAGAGAATTGAATACTTTTTTCATTTCCTTTCCATGATAGTTTTACTAGGGGTACTCTAAGAGTCTTCAATGCCGTAGTTCCTCGTTGATTTTAGCATTTGTATATCATTGACTATAAAACGGATGAAAAGCAAGAAAGCTGTAGGGCCTGATAATATCGAAGCTGAATTTTTAAAACTCTTGGAGGAAGAAGGAATAATTTGGATCACGACTGTCTTCAATAAAATATACAATACAGGAATCATCCCTGATAATTGGCTAGAATCAGAATTCATAGCGATACCTAAAAAACAGGGGGCTAAAAAGTGCGAAGAATATCGAACAATCAGCCTAATGAGCCATATGTTGAAACTGTTTCTTAGAGTCATCCATGGAAGAATTTATAAGAAGTGCGGGGAACAAATATCGGACAGACAGTTCGGCTTCATTAACGCAGTGGGTACCAGAGAGGCACTTTTCGGAGTACAGGTACTGATTCAAAGATGCAGGGACGTTAACTACGACGTATACGCGTGCTTGATCGACTATGAAAAGGCATTTGACAGAGTTCAACATCAAAAGATGATAAACATTTTAAAAGAGGCAGACCTGGATGACAAAGACCTCAGAATAATTTCAGAACTCCACTGGAATCAGACCGCATACATGAAAATTAATGGAGAAGAAACAGATCACATAAAAATACTACGTGGAGTTAGACAGGGATGCATCCTATCGCCGATGATATTTAATATGTACTCAGAGAAAATTTTTAACGAGGCTCTTTACGGAATAGACGAAGGCATCCTTCTTAATGGTGAAAGAGTAAACAATGTTAGATATGCCGACGACACCATGGTGATAGCAGATAGTTTAGAGGGACTTCAGAGGCTAATGGACAGAATAAACGAGTACATTCAACAGTACGTACTAAACATTAATACCCACAAAACGAAATAAATGATTATCAGCAAGGAGAATATAAACGGGGCTCATCTATACATTAATGGGACGCAGATAGAGCGAGTAAAACAGTATTGTTACCTGGGAACTATTATTAACGAACAGCGGAGCAATTTACAGGAAATAAAGTGCCGCGTAGGAAAGGCAAGAACGGTCTTTAACAAAATGAGCGCCATCTTCAAAAGTCACAACATATCCCTTGATACAAAAATGAGACATTTGAGATGCTATGTTTTCTCTGTGTTGTTGTACGGGGCGGAGGCATGGACGCTTACAGACACCACTATTAAAAAACTTGAAGCATTTGAGATGTGGCTTTACAGAAGAATGCTGAGAATATCATGGACAGCAAGGATCACGAACAAGGAAGTTCTAGGAAAAATGAAGAAGGAACCAGAGATTGTGTTTACGATCAAACGCATAAAATTGCAATATCTGGGACACGTTATGAGAAATCAGCACCGTTACTCTCTGCTACAGTCTATATTGCAAGGTAAAGTCAAAGGTAAGCGAGGACCCGGTAGAAGGAGAATATCATGGCTGCGGAATTTAAGAACATGGTTTAAGAAAACCTCAACGGAACTGTTTCGAGCCGCAGCGAGTAAGGTTATGATTACCAATATGATTTTCAACATCCGAAACGGATAGGAACCAGAAGAAGAAGAATATCATTGACCACGTTTCTCTGCCTTCGGAGCCGATTAACCCCAGGACAAAAAAGTGCTCTTCTACTTACCAACTCATTTCCCTAAAAGTCATTGTTCAGTAAGCAGGAGATTGGTTATACAGGCGAATTACCTGTTGTCCCGCAGGAGGTATTTTATTTTCCTCCTATACCCGGCAAACCGGGTCGGGCATTCCCCTATGCCAGCTAGGCATACGTCCTCTAATAGTTACATGTTCCCGAGAGTTTATCGGGTTAACGTTTGGAAGGTTAAAATAAAACAGCATGTATTTGAAATGTCAAAAAAGATCCAAAGTACATATGCTTGTAAAACTAGGTATTAGGTTCAAGAACTATTTAGCCAGACAATTTTTAGAATACGTAAAAACAATCTCCTACACTTCCCTTAAATTCATGACAATTTCCTAACCGTTCGTTCATTCACTCAATTTCCCAACCTTCCCATTGAAAACACTATTGGGTGACTATATAAAAAGGATTGAACAGGAACACACGCTTCACGCTAGGTGCCCTTCATAGTGTCTTCTGAGATTAGTTCTTGACGTTTCGCCAACACTAGGGGTTGGTATCTTCTGGAGATGTTAATGCTTCTCCCCAAATATATAATCACCCAAATAATTTTAATCGGATAGAAGGAGGACTGAAAATTAACAATACATGGATACCAATATTAAAATCCGTAGTGGCGAAAGTAGTCGAGAACTAATCTCAGAAGACAACGTCCTAACAGCCGGAACAAACAGTTTAACAAGTTAGACGATGGCCGTGAAAGCCTAACGCAGTTTAACAAACAATACAGGCAATGGTTAAAGGTAAATGGCATAAAAGGAAAGACAATGGGAAATACAACAACTAACGTCCTACCATTTCGGATTCACACAACACTGGAAAAGGCAGTTTAGATTTTTCGTTTGGTACGTTTGAAAAATTCCCATAAAATGGATCTGATACTTGAATTTCGACTACCTAAATAGAGCATAGAAGCAACGTTTTGCGGCAGTATAATTTTTTGTTGGGAGATGGCTTGAAATAAAAATTTTATGGCTTCTTGATTATACCCACATTGAAACATCCAGTAGTTAACGTCGTCATAACTGCCATTACATTCACATATATCATTTTCGGAAACTTTTATTTTATATAGGTAAGCGTTTACTGTAGCATGTCCAAAAAAGCATCTAACGTACATAGTATAAATTGTCCGAGAGATGGGGCTTCTGTCATTTGGGGGAGTAGATGGAAGACTTGGATATATACTGCAGTATGTATTTTTGCTACTGTTGGTAAAGGATTGCCACTCAATTTTCCAATTAAGCCTAACATGTTTCTTCCTAGCTGAAACTATATCCCATTTGGGCAAGTCGCTGTACTCTATACCCACTAAAGTAGTGTATTTAGCTAAATGGTCTCATTTTGCATTTCCTGGAATATTAGAGTGACCTTTAACCCACACAAATTTAACAATTCTTTTTTTTAGACGTTATTAACACGAGAAAATAGCCTTCCGCTACATCCTATCGTGTCTCTGATTTGATATTATACAAGACTGGTACGATATGCAAACAGGCGGATACCCAACTAATGATGAGTTAAAAATGATCGTTATTTGGAGAATATATGAAATTCAAAGTTCATTAGTAGATAAATACTCATTTAGTCGATTTACCATATTAAACAACATTTAATCGCAATAAATTACCAATTAAAGACTTAAAAAAATTTTAGTGGATAAATATAGGACCTAATTGGTGTGCTACACCTTATATTGTTTGCCTACATAAGTAGTCCTTTGTTAACTGGCGTGAATAATTATCTAAATTATCAACTGTAGTTATTTTAAATAAGTAAATATAATGACTTCTACAACCTTGAAAAGGTGTAGGTGTTTTAAATAGCTATATAGAATTTATGTGATATTAATATAACATACAGAAAGCCACGCAACGATTTGAAACATTTTGTTCTTTTAATCTATTTTGTTGCGTTAGTTAATGTTTGCTTTAGATATATATTAATACTTTAGAGAGCTTTCAAATATTTATTCGAACTCAGATGCATCTATATTGTTTCAGATGAAACATTGTCTTACCATAGCAGCTGGTAACGTGGACCGAGCCACCCAAATCATCATCGATCGCCAAGAATGCGGCCAAAGCTTGAATCAAAATACTCCGCTAACAATCCAAGTCGCTCGAAGAACCATCGATGACGATGAGCTGAAAAATCGCATCATCGAGCGTTATTCCTACATCGACAAGGACGCGTTCACCAAAGAGCATCGACCCGTCGCTCCCAAAGTCGAGCCTAAGAAGATGGTACGCTATCGGGACAACAAGATAGTCAGCTTAAAAGGCGAACGCTTCACCGAAGTAAAAAAAGGGGAGGACGTCGACGACATTTCTACAAAGAAAAACAAGAAAGGCCACACTCCGTAACCCAAATGTTGCGACTCACCCGCAACGGGCTTGACCATTTTAACAAGCGACTTAAGTTCGGTTTGTAGTTTAGTTCCTCTTAAATATCCCACCTCGAAGGTTTTACGATCTGATTATCACTTATTCGAAGAATACTCTGTACTGTTGTGTAATGTCTATTATGTTGAATCCTTACGGAAGGTTTTAGGTAGGTTTACAAGTCCTTATAAAAGGATGCTTTTAGGTAGAGTTTCAATGTTCGGTAGGAAACGTACGTTAAGTATATATCTGGATGTAACCACTTTTAACTAGCTATAGGGAGCAAGTGTTAGGTAAGAGTGCTGGATTTGAAACATAAAAATAATCCTTTGACTGTGTTATAGATGTAAAGGACAAACAGCTCTTAAATGACTCACGTGAGGTTTAATGAAACAAATACGTAAGTCCCCATACGATTTATTGAGTTAATTAAGGGAAAACTGCCACAGTTGCTACTCATAATCATAAGATGAGTGATTTGGTCTATATATTTGTTGAGGATACCGTTAGTAACGTCCGTAGTAAACGTTGGATTTCTGTATCGTTTTCTATTTCTTCTTATTATCTGTAAATGATTATTACCCAGCTGAAAACAAGCTTTATCTGGAATGAAGACATTCTCAAATTTACCGGAAAAGTTTTCACTGAATTGTTCTTCGGTAACAGTTGTTGGTGATTTCCTTCTATGTAACCAGTATGTATTTTTATTTATATGGCGTTTAGCTACATTACAGGTAAGTTGTATATATAGAGAGTTTTGTATATAAATAGAATATTTATTTATTTATCGTATGGCACTTGACATATTTACATTTAAATTTACATATATTTTGTATAAAACATTACATATATGTTTACAAACGAACATCTAACTTATTTATATATTCTATCGACTCTGGGAGTCGCCATTAGGAAATCCTCTGATCTGCCTTGATAGGGTCTTCTGGGACACTGTTCTGTAATGTGACAGATGATTTGTGGTTGTCCACAGTCACAGAGTTGGGATGCCCATCCATTCTCTCGCATATTTGCCGCTGTTAATTAAGAATTCGGGATGAATATTTTTAAAACCTGGGGCTTTACCTGGCTTTACATCCTTGAGAGCTATAGTGACCTCTTCGCAAGTGAAAGGGCGGGAGTATTCGGTTTCTGCAGATTGGAATTTTAAAGTTTTGAACTCTTGTTTTACCTTGATTGTGTGTGGCTTGTCTTTCGGGTTCTAGATGTCGATACCAGATGTGAGGCAATAGTGTTTGGGTTAATTGTTATTTTGTTCTTTGTTATGGGAGTTCCGCTTCCTAATTTTCTTAGTAGTGTCCATGCTTGCTAACTTGATGTTTGGAAATTAAGACTTTCTACAGTTTCCGTCCATTTTTGTTGTCTTGCTGCATCTAGGCTATGGAGCAGTTCATCGGCTAATTCTTGATCGCCGCTTTCAAGGAAATTTTGGTACAGTTCTTCGCTGTTATGGGACCAACCAGGAATGTATTCTTTTCGGTAGCCTCTTGGTACATGATTTTTGGCATTGCTTATTACGGCTCCAACAAACCTTTTGTAATTTTTGATGGTAGGGGGTATCCAGTCTAGAGTCTTGTCCAGTTCCGCAGAAAAGCTACCCCAAATGGCTTTTTTTAAATTCCAACGTGGGCGAGGGATGGATGTGATTATAGGAATCTGTGTTCTTGGGTAAATAGAATAAATAATATATTAAAAATAATCATAGTACAATACTAAAAAACCTACAGACATCTAGGTTACAAATATATTCAATTGACTGTTTTGTCGCAACTAATAAATCGAATGTGTTGTTACTGTAGGATCAAATGCTGCAGTCTTCCACCAAATGTGTAATAGTATGTCTTTCAGTACAACAATCGTAGGAGAGAGTAATTTTTCCGCACCTGAAAAGTGAATCAGAGCACCTGTCATAGTTCGTCCCTATTTTGTTGAGTGTTGTCCAGATTTGTCTTGGTTGATCTAGCCTGATTGTAACAGGTGGCAATTTCGATTGGTAGATGTTGCATAGGTTGAGAATATGTAAAATAAGGTGGGATATATACTCAATACATAAGAGGATGTATTAGATACGTGGGTTTAACACTATAAAAAGCTACTTTCCGACAAAGTTTAGAAGATTAAAATGCATCATCTGCAGGATCAAGAAACAATACACCGTCCTTCAATTCAAGAAGTACAAGATACAATAGAGCGTGTAAAAAATAACAAATTTCCAGGAACTGATGGTATACCTATAGAACTTATTAAATGTGGCCTGAAATCATATAAATTACATACATAAAATAATAGTAAGAGCTTGGAATGAGGAAGAAATCCCGAAAGAGTGGTGTACTGGTATTGTTTGTCCCTTATACAAAAAGGACAATTAATTGGAATGCAGAAACTATAGGTAAAGTGCATATCGAGAGGGGCTTCTTGGAAAATATCCTCTTGGGTTTTAGGTCTAGTCATTCAACAATGTACCAGATATTTGTGCTGAGGCAGATACTGAAAAAAAAAACAAAGAATTCGATGTCGATACCTACCACCTCTTTACAGATTTTAAATCAGCCTATGATAGTGTGCTACGAAGTAATTTGTATAAACTCATGGACGAATTTTACAAAAACGATAAACTAATAAGACTGTTAACGGCTGCTGCAATGCATAAAGTTGTTTGCAAAATAGAAACGCAGGGTGAACAATAACAATTGTTTAACATATATAGGACTGCGACAGGGAGATGTGCTGGCGTATCTACTTTTTAACGTAGTCAACATACCAATCGTTACTTGCCTGCGAATACTCATCATCTACCATCACAAATCAGTCATCAATACCCTTGTCTCCAGATCAATAAGCCTTTGCGATGATGCAAGTAGACCCGCTGAGCTCTCTAGTTTAAAGTAAGCCCTTATCCAAAACGGCTACCGAAAATCACATCAATGGGAGCATCCACAGACGTCAATCTTTCATTCAATCTCAACCCAAAGACTCTGACCCTCATTATACGAAAGCTTTTCTTCCTTACATCAAAGGTGTCACAAAATCGACAGAATTCCTAAATCAAGAGGAATAAAGACAATATTTACCCCCTAACAAAAACTTTGTGATGACGTATGTAGACCCGCTCTAGTTTAAAATAAGCTCTCATCCAAAACGGTTACCGCGAAATTCACATTAATAGGAGCATCCACAGATATCAATCTCCGACTCAATCTCAACCCAAAGACAGAGACCCTCATCATACGAAGGCCTTTCTTCCTTACATCCAAGGTGTCATTGACAAAATCGGCAAAATTCCTAAATCAAGAGGAATAAAGACAATATTTACCCCCTAACAAAACTTTCATCTGTTGTCCGATCAATCAAAGACAACATTCCAAATGATTAACACGGAGTTTATGAAATTCCTTGTGCAGACTGGAATTCCATATTCAATTTGAGCTCTAGGTCAACACCATCTTCATACAGGGCATAAAATTTATTTTGAAAACTCCAGAACCATAGCACCCATCCGCTTTTATAAACCAAGAATTATCCGAGAAGCCAGAGAAATTGAAAAAATGCCAAATGTACCAATAAAAGAGATGACGGCATCCTCTTCTGACGGATTACTTTCGACATGGAGATCTCTCGTAAATTAAATATAGTCGACTACACTCTCCAATTAAAATCCCGCCGTCAGAAATATTTCTTCCCAATTCGAACTCACTATTCTCCCATACGTGGTTTGAGGTTTCCCCTCTCATCAGGAACGGAGGAGCGAAAAGCTCCTCCGTTCATATAAATCGTATTTCATTTTAGTTTGAACTGCCACAAGTATTCCTGACTAGAGGGAAATCTAAAAACACGTTACGCTTTATTTTATGTATTATCTATTAATAAAATTAGCATTGTAAGTAATCATGGCAGACTTTTGAAATTTTAAACCTCACGTTTGTTATAGTAGTATAATATAAAGTGTTACCCTCTCCTAAAACTTTGTTGTGATCAATCAATATTAAGTGTTGTTTGTTGATCTAATAAAATCGGTTTTATAGGTGAAGTTTTAAAAAATTCGAATCGAAAATATAAAGGTATTGGTTGTACAAAATTTCATGAACTTTACTCATTTGGTAATGTAAATCTATGAACAAAACCAGAAAATCCGAAATTACTGACAAAATTTAATTGTCTGCAGTGCGTTCTCATGGCAAAACAGAGTCAAATTGGTTTTTGCGTTAGTGAAATTTAAAAAATAATAAATAACATTTAAATTTTCAATTCGTAATAACTTTTAAACTCTAAGAATTTGAGCAGCGGCACGATTACAAATTGACTGGCTGTTGCCAGGTTCAATTGCTCCTCTGGCGAATGTTACAGCTTCAACAGATTTCGTCATTTGTTCTGGATTGATTACCAAACAGTCACCATTCACTTTCTTGACAAAATTCTTCCAATTTGACAGTAAGACCAAAATATGAGATTTAACGCTCAATAATCCAAATTGGAAAATTGGACAACAAAACACACAAATGTGTGTTTTGTAGATTACCAGAATGCGTTCGATAAAATAAAACATGACGAACTGATGAAAAGATTAAATTCAATTGGTTTAGACAGCAGAGATCGCCGTATAACAATATCTATTACGAACAAACTGCAGCTGTTAGAGTTGGGGATCAGTTAACAGACGATATAAAGATAAAGAGTTATGCGGCAGGGATGTATATTGTCTCTATTATTGTTCAATACATATTCAGAGCACGTTATGAACCTAGCGCTAACGGACATAGACGAGGGAATACCTAAAAACGGAGAACGATTGAAGAACATAAGATACGCTGATGTTACTGTCATTTTAGCAAACAGTCTTAAAGGTCTGCAGACACTTGTATCCAGAGTGGCAGAAGTAAGTAGCAGGTTTAGGCAAAGTCAGAATAGCCATGTTAGTGTCCAACATCCGTAACGGATAGGCACCATAAGAAGAAGAATCCAAATTG